GTGGAAAGGGCCTTAGACAATCCACCAGAAGAATGTTTCCAAACAGTGAACAGAATGAAAATATAGGAAATGACCAGTAAGAGAAAGGAGCCCACAGAAATGAGCCCACTGTTGACAGTGACCATGAGCTCAAGCTCTTGAGTGTTTGTGCAAGCAAGTCTGAGGAGTCGGGGGAGGTCACAATAAAAACTGTCCAAGGTATTAGGACCACAGAAAGGCAAGTCTACCACAAACACCAATTGTACCACTGAGTGAATAAGGCCAATGACCCAGGAAGTGACTAAAAAAAATAGACACACGTGTGGGCTCATGATGATCAGGTAGTGCAGAGGCTTACATATGGCTACATATCGGTCAAAAGCCATGGCTATGAGTAACACCATCTCAGTGCCCCCAACTGCATGACTGAAGAAGATCTGAGTAATACAGCCCCAGAAGGAGATGGTTTTGTGTTTCTTGAAAATGTCACAGATCATCTTAGGAGCTGTAATTGAGCAGAATACCATATCAATGACTGAGAGATTAGCTAAGAGGAAGTAGAGGGGGGAGTTTAGATGAGCGTCCAAAGTTACAGTGAGCACAATGACAAGGTTGCCCATCATGCTTGCAAAGTAGAAGAACAAAGTGAAGACAAAAAGTAGAAACTGAATCTCCCATATATTAGTGATCCCGAGGAACACAAACTCTGATACCACAGAGCGATTCATTCCATGCATTGCTTCAGATGTCAGAACCAGCATTCGTATTTGCTGAGGGAAGAAGGAAAAAGAGAACGATTTACTTAGGCAAGAGTTAGTGTACGAGGAAGAAAGCCTGTCACTATGGAAGTAATTATTTCATTCAAATTATGCGCAGCAAAATATTCTTTATCACATCCATGTACACTGGCTTCCTCTTAGATGAGCTGGCTGATTTCCACATGGTGTCATAGTTCTCAAAGCTACTACCATTAAATTATTTCCACTTCTAGACCTGTTTCTTCTCTGTTGTTGTTTAATATTAAGTGAAGATTTTCTATTTTCTTTTGTCCAGAATATTCTACCTGGATGACAAAAAAGCCATTTTTAAATCCCTTTGACCACAGTTTCTTATGAATTGATATGATTACAGCTTTTCACACAAAACACCTAACAATACTCATGCATGATATACAGCTTTAAAAGTCTCTACACTGTTATTTTTTTATTCTTCAATTAAACTTTAAACATTTTTCCTTTTTCTTTGACTTCCAAAATTTCTGCCATTGTATCATGCACTACACAAAGTCTAATTCTCAAACTCCAGGTAAACATGCCCTTGTTTGTGAAATCACAGCCTGGTGGAGTCTTCACACACTCAATGCTAGTTTTTAATGTCAACTCGACACAAGATAGTCATCTGAGAGGAGCAAACCTCAATTGAGAAAATGCCTCCATAAGATCAGGCAGTAAGCAAGCCTATAGAGCATTTTCTCTTTTAGTGATCAATGGGGGAGAACCCAGCCCATTGTGGATGGCGCCATCCCTGGGCAGGTGGTCCTGGGTTTTATGAGAAAGCAGACTGAGCAAGCTATGAAGAGCAAGCCAGTAAGCAGCACTCCTCCATGGCCTCTGTTCAGATCCTGCCCTGTTTGAGTTCCTGTCCTGACTTCCTTTGATGATGAATAGTGATATGGAAGTATAAGCCAAATAAATCCTTCTTGCTTTCAATCATGCTGTTTCACTACAGTGGTGGTAACCCTACCTAAGACTAAGCTCTGTTAGTATTTAGTTCACTTTGTGTACATAATTATATAACTGTCCATCTCTTGAACTGAAATGTAGCTTCTTGCTGTAGGTGTTGCTCAGTGGTAGAGTACTTTCTTAGCTTGTGTGAGGCCTGCTTGATCCCTGCAACTGTAAAATAAAACAGTTTAATTTGACATGGAAATCATGTTTAGTTCACATGTATGGTTTCTATCACCATCACGTCACTAACAGGGACTCACAAAGCCTGATGACAAGTGCTTCACACTTGCTGAATGAAGGAAGAAATTCATGGGACTGAGGGCTGACATTAGAGTTGAGAGTATATTGTAAGTCAGTAGGCTTCAGATCAATAGTATGTAAATAGTATGCCAATTAGTGGCTATCACAAGATCCCAAGGTCATTCCTATACTTGTTTAATCACACAGAGAAAAGTTGTATGGCAAACCTCTGTTGTAAAAATAATTATGAAGCCTCAGTCATTCATTTAAAGAAGTTGATAAAAGGCATCTGATGTTTTAAAATGGAAGAAGTCATTTTACTTTATAACCATGATTCACTTTCTTTTTTTTTTTTGATTTTTTGAGACAGGGTTTCTCTGTGTAGAATGATTCACTTTCAATAAAGTCTACGTCTGGTCTAAAGGGTTGTGAGCTGAGACAAAAACAAAACAAAACAAAACAAAAACAAAAACAAAACAAAACAAGACAAAACAAAACAAAAACACACCCTCTGCACACCCACTTGACTCTCAAAGGCAAGAATTACCTCACATAAAACTTACACTTTTTCAAAATACACTTGAATTGGGTAAAAGAAGAGCAAATAAAATATTGGGAGGAAAGAGCCAGATTGTGTGTGTGTTTGTGGACAGGGTGACTGCTGAGTTATAAAGAGCATCAAAGCAACTAAGGACAGCGGTCAGATTCCAGCACTGGGAAGAAGAGGATGACAGAGTTCTTTAGGCATAAGCAACAGGTGCTGCAGGTGGACAGTGAGGTGATTTACACAGGAAGCAATTTCACAAAATATTATGAAACTTTACACTAAGATCAAGATTTCCAGATTCTCACTAAATGTTCTTTGCAATAAACAGCTTTTCAGCTCTCTTTTTATTTATTTAGCATGTCTGGGGATTGAACCCAGGTCTTTGTGCATGTTTTTAAAACAAGTGCTTTACCACTGAGCTATTTCCTCAGCCACAGAAGTAGCTTTTATATTGGGTGTTGTAAGAAATAGTCACAAATTTTGTGGCTTAAAACAGCTATCCTAGTTGGACAGAGTGGCGCATGCCTTTAATCCCAGCACTTGGGAGGCAGAGGTAGGCAGATCTCTGTGAGTTCGAGGCCAGCCTGGTCTACAGAGTGAGTTCCAGGACAGGCTCCAAAGCTACACAAAGAAACCCTGTCTTGAGAAACAAACAAACAAACAAACAAACAAACACACAGCAAAAAAACAGCTGTCCTGCCCTCAGCTGACTGTCCCAACTCCCACATCATTCACCTACCTCCTCATCCTCACCTACCCCAGTGCAGGTATAGTTTTAAATCAGGAAAGCTGATATGAGTCTTTGAATATAAAATTAAAGTATCACCAGAAACCTTTTCTTTCTGAAGTTTCCAGAACAGAATCTGTTTCCTTGTCATTTCCAGCTACAAAAGGCTGCCTGCATTTCTTGGTTCAGGGCCCCCCATTCCCAGCATCTACTATTAATCCTCTCAACTCCTCTCACTCAGACTCTCGGTGTTCTCTTATAATTATCACTGGAATTACATTGGACAGATCAATGATAACCTTAAATCTTAAACTTCTTGAACCAATTATAGCCACAAAGTTGCCTTTGCCCTAAGGTAATATTCACAGATCTGTGTTGAAGACATAAACATCCTTGAAGGACATTATTCTGTATGCCACACTATTCTAATGGGATAATGACAATCTTACAATGAAGCAATGAGTCTTATACTGTGGATTTCAGGTAGCTTGTCAGGATATTAAAAAGGATACTGAGGGGTGAGGAATATATAATGCATCCTGATCTATGCCTTGTGAATATGTATAAAGAGTTTCTGACTCCACTAACACTCCACTAACATAAGATGGACAATGAATGGCCATCAAGGATGAGTCAGTGGTAGTCAGTCAACCAATATGTTATCAGAGAAATTGTTGTGGAAGGTATGTAAATGACCTCTGAGTTTTTCTATGACTCTTCCTTGTTCATTAATTCAATAAATATTTTGAATACCTAGAGTGCCAGATACCATCCCAGAGGTCTCAGTTGTAACACTGACATGAATTTTTGACTTTGTGGAATCTATATTTAGTATAGAAAAATGCAGTTTTAATATTAGATCTCCTTTTTTCAGAAGAGATAAGTACAGTGGAAGAAAGAAACTCTATAATTCATTACCTGGGCTATCTCAAACTCTCTGCTTATATCAGAAAGTCTCTTCTAAGTGTTCTGACTTCGTTTTATCTGAATTCTTATGTGTATAGTTTCTATTACATTATTTTTCATGGTCTCTATTTAATAATTGCGAATTGGTCTCCCAACTTACATTGATAAAACTTAAGGACAGGTATCATGTTCTTTAATTAGCTTTTTGTTAATGACTGAAAATCAACCCATAAGTAACACTAGGAAGATTTCTTTGGTTGTCTACTCACTCATTCAACAAACATGTATGTGGAATCCATAACCTCTCCAGCAATATAGTAAATCTCAGAGATAATAGAATGGTGAAAAACTTAGCTATCATGTGGAATAATTTAATGGTATAGGAAACTGGAGGCATGGAAAATGCCTATGAGTACAATTTTAAGAGCTTTGTAAAATCATTTCATCCTGTTAATTGGGTCTTCTCTTTCTTTCAGTTGGGTTAAGAGTCTGTAAATCTTGTTTAAGAACCAGCTCTTGGATTCTATGATTCTCTGTGTTGTTTTCATTGAGTATAGCTCATGTTCCTCTCTATTTTTCTTTCATCAAATAAACTTCTCATTGTAACAGATGGAGACCATTACAGAAAACCACAACTAATCAAAATGCAGAGTTGTGGAGTCCAGTTGCAATTGATACAACACAAGTCCTGCACCCAAGGCTCAGGGATCATCATGGAAGAGAGGACAGAAAAATCATATAACTAGAGGAACAGGGAGTTTGTTGTGAGACTGCATCTCCTAGAAATGTCAGAAGCTATATCCATGAATCCTCACCAGTGTGGCTGCCTAACATGAACTGAGCAAGTGGGACACCAGTAGACTTACTAATGTGGAAAAGGGAAGCTCCCGCCGCCTCAACCATACACTAAGAACTATACACAACTAAGAAATGCTGAGAGCAGGAGAGATACACCAACTGGAAGCCAAATGGTCATCCCTGCAAACGCATGCAAACAAGTGATATTGTATGCCCTAAGCAGGTTGTATTTATATATTTAGGAATCCATATATTAAATATAAAGAGGCCATGAATTTGAAAGAGAGTGGGTGAGAAGAAAGGGAACATTGAAATGATGCAAATATATTATAATCTCAAATAAATAAAAAATTAAAAAACTAATTTATGATTTCTATTCAAACTTCCATGTGATGTGCTATAAACTAATCAACACTGTCCTAAAAAAATAGAAAATTTAAAAGCTCCAAAAGAATTCCTTGTGGTTACTAAGAAAAATATGCTTTTACTTAAAAAAATTAGGCTTTATGAAATAAGCACAATGAGAATATACTGTGAAGTGGGAACATATGTGATGCTTTTTACAAATTAAAATTTGGACAGGAAAAAACCCAAAAGAACGGGAAGTGGCAATAGACACCTGCATTCTCATTACTTGGGAGGCAGAGGCAGGAGGCTTACTATTAGTTTGAGTCCAGACTATGCTCCATAGAGAGCTACAGCCAGCTGGGCTGTATAGAGAGACTCTTTGATAAAAAGGACAAATCACAACAGCTGAAAAAAATGACACTTAGCTGTTCATGGATTTATAAGGGCAAGATCAAAATTAGGATATTTATGGGGTCATTTAAAGACAAAAATATGATATTTCATATACAATTTGTGCAAAGATAAAGCCTAGGCAGAGGACAACTTGGACATTTTAGGGTAATTAAATATACTTTTAAGATGAGAAAAGAATTAGATGGAAAAATTAGAATAAGAAAGAAAAAGGGAAATTAGATCATTGAATGTGGCAGGAGATGAAGTCGGCCAGTGAGGTTGAACATTATGATAGAGAGGAAGAAATGGTAGAAAAGAAGTTTAAGGGTGCACTTTTAAAAACAGCAGCACCCCCAAATAACTCTCTGCCAGCATCCCAGCAGAGCTGTGTCATTTTAGGCTAACACACTGCAGTCCCCAGTCTTGCATACACTGCTGTAAGAAGGGAGCCCTCTCAAGTTATTACAGATGAGTTTTCATGCGGTTTTCCCGACACAGTATCAGGAGATTTTATTCATACAAGGATGAAGGCTTTGTGGATGAATAATAAAATTTCCTTAAACCTGAGTCATTATCTAAGGAGGATTAGCTTGGATCTGTGGCTGCAGGAGACAGGATAAGAGAAGAAAGCATGGGTAGGAGCGAGACAGTGTGCATGAATGGCCGCCATATAGGAGAAGGGGAGAAGTATGACTGAGCACGTATTTCCCCCTTTCATAATTTCCTGAAAGCCAAAGGAGATAAAATAACATGCATAGTAAATATCAGCGTATTTAGTAACTTACTCCCTTTTTGCCTTCAGATCTTCAGATTTCCTGAGTAGCTCACGTCCAAATCTGAGAACTAGTCACTTAAAGACTTCCACAGGGAGACACTTGGTTCTGAGTGCTCCACCACATTTACACCCTCCTGGACCGAGTGCGTCTGCTTCTGTGACTCGTGCTTCATCACATTCACACCCTCCTGGACCAAGTGTGTCCTCTTCTGTGACTATTGCCATCAGAGGTAGTCTGCTTTGAGGTGACTAGTTCTGTCTTCATTTATATGAAATTGAACACACTTTAGAATATATTAATAATAACTTGACATTCAGAAAAATTGAAAAATGTTATGTTCATTATTAAATGATGAAATTCCTGAACTAGAGGACTGAAATATGTTCTGAGACTGTTCCTTTTATTTCTCTACCCGGGACATAACATTTCCCTCAGTTTACAAGGTTTGAAGATTATTTACTGTTTTGTTTTTGTTATTTTTGTTAATATAGTAATTCTGAAGTTCTTTGCATAAATGAAACATTTCTC